GCTGCCTTTAGTTATGGGTGCATTATCAATTTAATCTGGAATTCCCAAATCAGTTGCGAAAATCCTCACCTCATGCCCAGATAGCGTGTAAGATATTTGGGCACAGGGACATTTACAAATGCATTAAAAAGCCCATTATGAAGTTGCACAAGAGTCAACTGTACCTTTTTAGGGCTTTTAAACAATTGGGCCTCGTATCCAAGGATCACAAAGTGCTTTGCAACAGTTACCCTGGTGAACTAAGGAAATAGCTACTATTTTCCAGGTGGGGAAACTGAAGCACAGGAAAGTGATGTGTCTAAGTCAGTGGCAGGGCTTGGAATAGAATCCAGGAGCTGAGACAGCAGGCCATATACAGAAATCAGTGGCACAGCTGGACACAGAACCCAGGAGTCCTGACTACATATCCCAGCCTGGTCAGATCATACCACCCCAGTCAGCAAGGATCAGTCCTGAGATCCCAGCTGATTGGGGTGGTCTAGGCTGACCAATCCGGGATATGTAGTGTGTGTATTATAAACATTTCTGCAGGACTCTGATAGTCTCTTAGACAAACTGGGCAATGACAAGAGTCACTGTGGGTCTAAACAGGACATATCTTGGCAGCCCTGATATCACCTTGTCTCTCACCATTTTGGAAACTCTTATTTGACGAATCAGAATTTCGGTACCCAATTACGTTCCCCCTCCTGCCAGTCAATCATCTTGCATGAATGACTTCCTGATTAAAGCTTTACGGGAAGTAACTGAGCTGCTCTGAAACAACAAGCCTGCAGCCAGCAAACAAACTTAGGTCAGGTCAGAATTTGGATGGGAGACCTTCAACAGAAGGCCCAGGGTGTGACAGGTGCTCAGTACCAATCCCAAGCCACAGTGTGGGAGTGCTGTGCTGCAGAAGTTGCTATCATTTGAAAACATCCTGACCATTTGTACTCCTTAAAAATCCCCTGGCACTTCCCCTAGAAGGGAGGTTTTGTTTTAACTCTAGTGTCCTAGCAAAATTTCAATTTGAGTACTTGCAGATGGCCTACTTAAAAATCCTCCTCTTGAATTTTCAGCTGGATACAGTAATGTAATTTCTGCCTGCAAACAATTACGCTGTTAAAGAGCCGCAGTGTTCCAACCCAGACGTGGCAGCATTTCAATTCTGAGTGAAGCCATCCAAACACATCCATCACCTGCTTCCCAGAGGGGGCCTGGGAGAGTTAAATGGAGGAACGTTTATGAACCATGTTGAGATCCTTGGATGGAGAGCACTAGAGGAGGGCCAAAACCCCTCTGTCTCTGTTTTCCCTCTTTGTTTATTTCAATTGTAAGCTCTTAGGGGAAAGCACCTTCTCTTCCTCTGTGTTTCTACAGCACACATTGGGCCTTTGGTCTCTGCTGGGGGCCTGCAGGTGCTAGTATAATAAAAATAGGTCAGAATTTCCAAGAAGCCCAATGTAAGTGGGACCCATAGTCCACTGAATTTCAACAGCTGCCTAATTCCCAGCTAAAATAAATAACACTAAAATATTTTGGATTTAAAAGTGAACAGTAAAGCTTTCTAAAGATAGACTCCCCCCACCAAATCAGTGACAACATAAGGCGCAGACATGCTGTCTATAAATCTACCTAAGTGTCTGACTCTGCTGCCCATCCCCCTAGAATCTGGGTGCCCTCCATAGCTCAAAAGCAATAGCAATGGGGAGTCTTTGGAACTTGTTTGCAGAGTCAAAACTGCTCATGTTTCTGATCTGTTTATTTTTAAACATTATTAATTTCTTCTTTTTCTTGGTGGGAGGGTTATGAATGTCATTTTTAATTCATCACCATACAGCTGTTGTTGAAAGTTTAGGTTCTTACAGACCTGCCAAGACCCAAGTCTGGTATTCCCGTGACCACAGTAATCCCTCCAGCAATACCAGGAATTAAACTGTTTCCCTGTCTTAAGGGCACATGATGGCTTTATGTTTTTCCGCAACGGATGTTATGAACTCTGCCCCTGGCAGACTGAAAAGCTTTTCAGTTCCCCCTTTAACTGTGAACATGGTGGGTTTGAGTGTGACCCTCACAGGCACGAAGCACATGGCATTGCTTCCCATGGCAAAAAGCTACATGACAAGTGCATAGAGACTTGGGTTTTAAAGGATCATTTTTGAGCCTCAGTCTTACCACGGTCCAAGGCTCTGGGCATGCTCTTGGAGCGAGGAACTTTCTGATCCCCAGCTCTGGGAGGAGAGTGTGGCCTAATGCTTAGAGCAGGCCACAGGGAGTCAGGATTCTTGAGTTCTATTTCCATTACTAAGGTTTTAATAAAGGCTCATCTACTGGGCTACTGAGCACCCTGGTGGAAGGGGAGCATTCTAAAAAAAAAAAATAAGAGATAGCTGTATAAATAATACAATCAATAGCCACTGGAGAATCTCAAAGCACTTCACAGTGAACACTTATTTACCTAACAAAAGAGGGTAGCCCCACCTCCATTTGAGAGCTGGGAAAAGAAAGGTACAGGGAGGTGAGGGACTTGGCCAATGTCACCCCAGAGGCCAGGAGCGGAGCCAGGAACAGAACCTCGGTGTCTGGATTCCTGGTCTGCCGTCGTAATGGGGGCAAATGGATACCTTCTATACAGATGCTTCGAAAAGACCGTGTCAAAGGTAGGGTGGTCACCAACAGGAGGCTCAGAAATGCTGGCGGGAATCGCCATGGCATCTGAATTTCTGATGACTGCAATGAAACCATGTGTTCATTGCACTGTTTCAGGAGAGGGCAGTTCAATGCAATACGTTCAAGGCTGGGAATCAACAAATATGGTATTCTTTTTCTGGCCTAGAAAAGAGACAATTCAACTTTTTAAATAAAAAGAAATACCATTTCATAGTTCACTGTCTGGGAAATTCTGTAGGGCATAGTCTATCAGCACAGTGTTACAATTTGACATCGATGTGTGGGAGAGATATAAAAGCACAGGAGAAAAAGCTGTCAGATCATTGTACATTTAAACTAAACCTTTCATCCTGAAGGATCCCAGAACACTAGACTAAGCAGCTACAAAACAAACCCAGCATTGGGATTGCTTCACCTGCCACTCTCAGGTGCAGCTGACTCTGGGATCAGCAACACAGCTGCTTAACAGTGCACAGCAAAACAATCCAGTGTTGGGACTGCTTCACAGATGACAGTCAAATGCAGCTGAAACTGGGGTGGAACGCAGGAGCTACTTAACAGTGCACAGAATCTCTAAACAACAGGTTAGGGCAGGAAGTGAAGAAACCTGTTCCCAAATGCAGCTGCAGGGGGAATTTAGGCAGACTGGAGGTAATAAACAAAACTGGCGTCTGGAAACCAGGACTACCCCGCAAATCTCAAAGAGCACAGTGAGATCTTTAATGATCATAAGACGTCACAAACGCCTTTCTGCGTGGTCAAGCGCTAGTGTTCAAATATCCATGAGTCTGGTCCCAAAAATCATGAGACTGGCTTTAAAAAAAAAAAAACCTTTTTTTTTTTAAACAAAAATTATTTTATTCAAAATTTTATTTGCTTTCTGATTTATGAGCCTTTAGGATTCATGTTTTTCAGCTTCTCTCTGCAGCCATGAAGGCTGAAAAATTATTTGAAAAAAAGAAAGCGGAGATCCTCATGGAATCACATGACTCCAAGAGCTGAGGCTTTAAAAACACACCCAATATTGTGAGACTCAGGATAAGAGCGTAAGAACTGGGGACACGGCCAGATAGCCATTCATCCAGAAGATGGCCCCTCTAGCAGCACATCACCTGCAGAGAGCACACAGTCTTCAGAACTGACTCAGTGAGAAGAGTACCCCCGAATAAGCCACTAACACCACTTCTTGGGTTGCCCATCCAAGTACTGACCTGGTTTGGCTCGGTTTACCTTAAGAGATACAAAAGACTCTCAGCCCAGGATGGTAAAAATTGGGAAGGGCCACTTCACTCCTCAAAGTTGGACTCTCGGGGAAGCTCTCTGCTCCAGCCAAGGAGATACGGCTGCCCATGCAGCTGGAGAGTCATCTTGTGGTTAAGGCATTAGACTGGGACTCCCTGTCTGATCTGTGAAATGGAGAGAATAACTCTTCCTTTCACACACACTCAGCTACTTAGACTAAATTCTTCAGGGAAGGGACTCTCGCACCTGTGTGTATGTAGCTCCTGACACAGTGTGACCTGGATCTCAGTTGGAAGTCTCCAATACAGACAATCACACTTTAAGATTCCTCCAGAGGTCCCAGGTGGTTCTTCAAATGGGAATGTAGATGTTCTGGGTTTTCTATGTGCAAGACAGATAAAAATACCTCCCACTATTGTGCTAAGCCACGTGGTGGCCATCCACCATATTTAATTCACGGCTGTGCCATCGACACAGTATCTAAGCCTTCCCCAGAAATCCAGGCCCTCGTGGCTATCAAGGAGTGCACAGCACTCGGAGAACAGGGATGTCAGCCCAAATGTCCTGACAAAATTCTAACATGGAAAAATTACAATTTGCCTTCCTAAAATTGCTGCGGTGGTTTCAATTGGACATGGGATTCTTCTTCACTTGCTAGCTTACAATGCTGAGAGCACACTGCTGCTGTGCGCTGGTCAATGGCTGCTGCATTCCAGCCCAGAAGTGGTTGTGTATCAGTGGTGGAGGTGAGGACTGCCTCTCTATAGTCTGGGGTTGTTTAATACTTACCTGCTTCTGGAATGTGCTTTGAGAGCCTCAGATGGCAGGTGCGGTGGTCAAAGCTATTCCAGTGGTGGAGGGACAGGAAAGCATGTGGGCAAGCAGAGCCATGATCCTACGGGAGGCCTTATCTAATGCTGTTCCTAGCTGTAAATGGTCATGTATGCTCGATCAATGGTGGTGGTAACAGGTGGATATGGGAAAGATTGGGGACGGGAGGGGGAGACAGACAGGAGGGAAGTCAGACAGGTGGCATTTCTATGCAGTTGAAGGAAGCGTTAAGTAAATGATGCAGGAAATCCAAGCTGCGATGATAAAAAGTTTGGTACCTGCTCGTTGGGACGGAGCGGGAGCAGGGCTTAGAGTGATCACAATAACTGGATTGGGAAAAGGAAGAAAAAAACAACACGATAAATCACAACAGAAACAATCGAGTCATCAAAAGAAATCAAATCATATTCCGGGCGGGGGGCGAACTGATTCCAGGGTGAGGGATGGAGAATGGGGAGAAACCAACAGATGGTGACAGACAAGGTGAAAAATGGGATGCACCATACAGTGAAGTTCCTGGGAGCCCTGGGCAGCCATTCCCCAAGTGTCTCAAATATGCAGGCAGCAGCTGTTCCCTTCCCATCTCCTTCCACTGCAGCAAATTCTCCGTAGGCCATTCATCCATGCTGGTACCCCAGCCTCCCAGCTAACCTACCTGGGCCATGTCCCTGTTACCTCCCTCCCATTAAGTCAGGCATGTTCTGCCCCATCACAGTGCTTGGGCTGCTTACAATTTGGAGAGGCTCATGTTTCTACCTCCTTCCCAACATAGTCTGCAGGATTAATCCAAGTCCAGAAAGAACCACTGTGATCATCTGTCTGACCCCCTGAACAACAGAGGCCACATTTCACCCACTCAACCCTGCATCTGGTTAAGCTCAACTTCTGGTTAAACCAGGGCAGGATCTTTTAAAAAGACGTGAAATCTTGGAATTATAGACTTCAAGTGACAGAGAACCCACAACAGCCTCTGGTAAATTGTTCCAGTGGTTAATTCCTCTGCACCTTATTCCTAGTCTGAATTTATCTTTCAGCCACTGGATCAAGCAATGCCTTTGTGTGATAGATTAAAGAGCCCTCTACTATCAGAGCTTATCTCCCCACATACAGACCACGATCAAGCCAGCTCCTAACTTTTCTGACGATCTCGGGGAGATTGCGCTCCTTATGTCTCTTCTAGACCCTCTTCCCTATTCTGAATCTTTTCCAATTTTCAACATTCTTTTTGAAGTGTGGACATCAGAACTGGATGCAGTATCTGTTGATGCTCTCACTAATACTGTATACCGAGGTTACACCATCTCCCTACTCCTACTTGATATTCTCCCATTTACAAAACTAAGGAGCGCAACAGCCCTCAGCCACAGCCCCGCACTGATAGCTCACGTTCAGCTGATCATCTCTCATGACCCAGAGTCCTTTTCAGAGACACTCCTTTCCTGGATACAGTCCCCCATACCATTACGATGACCTACATTCTTTGTTCCTAGGTTTATGATCTTCCGCTGTACTAAAAACACATGTTGCTCAAATGAGTCCAGCTCACCAAGCAATCCTGAGTACTCGGTATAACTTACCTGGCCTTATCACTACTCACCATTAAACCAACCCTTGTGTCAGTTGCAAATTTTACCACCACATTTTATCTTCTAGACCACTGACAAATATATTGAATAGTATTGGGCCAGGAACAATTGGGACCAATCGCACTGGGCCAGGAACATTGGGACAATTACTTTTGGAGATCTAGCAATTAACCAGTTTCCAATCTATTTAATACTGGCTGCACTGATTTCATACAGTACCAACATTTTACTTACACAAAGCACAGCAGGGGTATCACAGATTCCAAGGCCAGACAGGACCGTTGTGATCATCTAGTCTGGCCTCCTGTAAAACAGAGGCCTGAGACCTGCCCCAAAATAATTCTTAGAGCAGATCTTTTAGAAAACTGTCCAATCTTGATTTTAAAAATGGGCAGTGATGAAGAATGCAACACCACACTTGGTAAATTGTTCCAATGGTTAGCTACTCTCATTGTGTAAAAATATACACCTTACTTCCAATCTGAATTTGTCTAGCTTCAACTTTGTTCCTGGCTGCTTAAAGTGGTACAGTTGCCTGATAGGATTAAGAGACAGTAGCTCATCACTGAGTTCACCAGGTCTGGAAATTCTGCTTGAGACTCTTTCCCACGGATGTAGGCAGGCGTCTATCAAATCATTCACTATAATTACAACCCCAGAAGGCATACAACAGCCGACTTTTCCACCCCTCCCCCAACCTGAACAGAAGTGGCCACCCCTACCTCACATCACCTTTCACTTCCCAGCTCAGTGAGCATCTTGTAAAAGGAGAATTAAATGAAGTACAGAGAACTGTACAGAATCCAAAACTGGTAGCAGATGCACACATTGGCACAAACACAGCTCTGCTCCGAAGAGCAACTTCACTTACTCCTCAGGCCTGCCTCTGTTTATGTGCTGGAGTCCGATCTGCTGACTGAAATAACTAGAAGACAATTTCCCTGCTTTTTACTCCTCCTAGACCATGGGGAGAGCTGGATTCGCTTTCTTCTTGTCCATCACCAGGATTGTTTAAGTTCCAATCAGTTATGCCTCGACAAACGCACTAAGGGGACAGGAATCACCAAGGGTCACTTGCCTTGTGTATCTGCAGATGATGCCCAAGAAGAAATAGAGCCAGCTTGACTCTCAGAACCCAGGTTTAGTTTCCAGCACTGGAAATTAAGGGAAGGGCACACCCATCTGATTGGGGACCACTGAGACACAATGAACATATAGCCCCTTCCCCCGGGGGCCGTTTGGACAGCCACTTCTCAGTTGTACTCCAAGTGGACGTGAATATGTTTTCAAATAAGAAGTGAATGTCAACAGCTCTTTCAGGTCTCTGCCAAAATCATAGTTCATGGGCAGCAGAAGCCTATGAGGTAGTGGAAACACCCCTCCTTAGCCTCTGATGCTCCCACACAGTGAAACTGACATGCTCATCAGAGTTGCAGCAGAGCAACTATGGCTACTGCTAAATTCCAGCAGCAGCTGTGCTCTCAGTCAGGTTTAAAGCCCCATTCTGCTGGGTGCTGTACTAAGAAAGTAAAAATCATCCCTGCGCCAAGGGGCTTACAGTCCAAGATGCAACAAACACAGCCTTGCCAACCCATTTAACTGCTTTGTAACGTTCCTTCAGGCCCCACTCCTGGAGTCATGGAGTCTCCTCTTTCATTTTTAGAAAAGAAAATAAGTTTGGGGGCAGGGGACTGAAAAACATGACCCCCAACAACTCAAAAAACAGAAGGCAAAAACATCAAATTCATATTTTTTTTCCAAATCTTATGTTTTTTATGTCAATCTCACGACTGGGGGTGGGGCTGGCCTATGATTTTTATGGTAGGTGGTACCACAAACCACAAGCTCAAAAATGTGAATAAGAACAAAGGTTAACATAGGCAGATGTGGACACAGCTGGAAAGCTCTGTCGGTTTGATTTCTTTTATATGTAAATAAGAAATATACAAGAACAAGAGCAAAAATCTCTGCTGGCTTTCTATCTTCTGGTTCCAAGGCCGGAAAGCACCACTATGATCATGTAGTCTGACCTCCTATATAACACAGGCCACAGAACTTCCACAAAATAATTCCTTTTGAAGTAGAACTGATCTTTTAAACAAGCATCCAAACCTGATTTTAAAATTGCCAGTGATGGAGAAATACAAAAAGAAAGAAAATAAATGGAATGAAAGAAAAAAATGCAAAACCAAGCAAGATTAGTCTGACCTAGAGGCCATCCACCCACTAATGGCAGGGATGTCATGGCCAGGCTTGGCTTACAGGAAGAACAAGGAATGAATGGTGATGCTGTACTGCTCCCAGTGTCTGCTAAGATGCTCTGGAATTAAAAAAGGAAAGTGATGGAGAATCCACCACAGCCCTTGATAAACTGTTGCAATGGTTAATTACACTCTCTGTTAAAAAATCTACACCTTATGCATGTTATACCTTTGTCTGCTAGACTGAAGAGCCCATTATAAAATATTTGTTCCCGGTGTCCATACTTACAGACTGTGATCAAGTCATCCCGTAGCTCTATATTTGTTACACTAAACAGATTGAGCTCCTTGAATCTATCAGCTGGCATTTTCCTGTAGGCATCTCCGAATCTCAAGGAGGGATCTGAAGCAAAACAGGATTTGCAGACAAGTTTGGAGGGGATGTCCCATGCCTAGGAGGATCAAAAATGTTTGTGGGAGAAGTGTCCACATCAACCATTTAAGTGCCTCCTTTCATTTCCCTTCCCCCCCCCCCCCCATTTCTTCACTCACAGCGTCTAGTAACAGACATGCCACTTTCAATCTATTAGAAGGAGTATATCCCCAGGGCAAATTGCTTCAATCATTTCCTTGAACTGTTCATTCTGTGTGTAGTATTACGAGCACAAAAGAAGGTTCTCTGCCATTCGATGGCTGTTATGCCACAATCACCCACTGATCTTCGACCTTGTCCCAGATGGCACACTAAGACCACCTGTGAATGAAGAGAGCAGGGACTTACACCATCATTGTGGCTACGTCTTGACAACAGCAACCTCAAAAAATGCCTTGCTTCAGGATCAAGCTCACCTATGTTTTGTTCATCCATTTCAATAGCAAGAGTTTCATTCAATGGGGCCTTTGATCTTAAAACCAAAGAAACCAATCTTCTAGTCTTTTAGAGATGGGCACAAATCCCTTCTCTCTTGTCGCTCAACAACTCTTGGCAATGTTCACACTTTACTTCAGAAGAATGATCTGATTTTGTTATTTCAGCCCATTTTGATTGCTTGCTTTCTACTCTTTCCATCAACATTAGGCAGGTCCAGTCAGAAAAACTCGTGGTGATGGCTGGAGCGTCCATTTGCAGCACTGATCAGTGGCTTTCACATTTATGACAGAATAAGAACAGCTTGGAACAGTCTTTCAAGAGTAGTAGAGAGAGCTAACTAGCTCATTCGTTTTAAGATGCAGCTTGATGAATTTATGAACAGGATGATATGCTGGGGTTGCTTGCGACAGTAGGAGACTGGACTTCTCAAACCAGGAGGACCCTTCCAATCCTATACTCCCAAACAACCCTCAACCCGAATTCAGCACTGGCGACACAGAAAGTAAGATGAGCTGGCCAGCTTCATACAGAACCACATCAACAGATCCACCTCCCCACAGTTCCTAGAATCTAATAAACCAAAACCCACTAACAGTTCACTCCCATCTCTTCAATATCCCCTGATTCCACCACGAGGCCCACACCCCTTTCAACCCATTCTCCTTTCC